TCGAACCATAATGCTAGACAAATCTGCGATAATAGCCGGTCAGACCCAAAAATCTCCGCAATTCTCTCACGTTCATCGTGTAGGCCAGCTCTGGAGAGTCGTTGTTTTGCTGGGATTCGTGGCAACTCCTGCAGCCGAGATGACGTGACCAAAATAATCCACGTGATCTTGACCGAAAAGGCATTTCTTCTTGTTCGCAAACATGTGATATTTCTGCATGATACGCAAAACCTCGGAAAGATGGCGAACATGGTCCGACATATTATGGTTGTACACCAAGATGTTATCAAAAAACACCAAGACGAATCAACGTAAGAATGGCCGAAAAACATTATTCATTAGGGCCTGAAATGTAGCTGGAGCATTGGTAAGACCGAAACACATAACGAGAAACTCATTGTGCCCATCATGCGTTCGAAATGTTGTCTTCGGAACATCTCAGCTTTCATCCGGATCTGATGATATCCTGCCCTTTAACTCATCCAAAAACTGATCTATCACCGGAATCGGAAACTTGTCCGACACCGTTGCCCGGTTCAAGGCCCGATAGTCCACACAAAAGCGCCAACTACCATCCTTTTTCCTCACCAACAATACCGGACTAGAATAGGGGCTTAGACTCGGCTGAATTATCCCTGCCTTCAGCATATCTCGAACTAATTTTTCAATTTCCTCCTTGTATGCATGTGGATAACGGTACGGCCGAACGCTTATCGGGCCCATATTCGGTTGGAGAATAATACGATGCTCATGACCCCTCACCGTAGGTATTCCTTTATTCTCTTTTATAATAAACATTTATCAAACCCTAGAAAACATAGAAAGTAGTAATAGAAAATATAGAATGCAATAATATCTAAACAAACTTTTCTAATTTAGCTCCAACTGAGCTTAATTCCCTTTTTCCGCTTCTGTCATGTCACTCAGTCACTGATCATCCGCCTCAACCAATAATTCCTCTATATGTCTCTGACAAACACTCGAAAAGACTTACCATTACCCCCTCCCATGAGTTTCAGCTTGTCCTCAAGTTGAAAGGAGGGAAATTGCAGCTTCAAATCGGAAGCTAGCACACACGTTGCCTCATGATTCAGCAAGGAACGCCACTTGATCACCACCTCCAGCAGTCCACGCGAGTCATAATGAGAGTCCAGCAAGTCTTCCGACTCCACCAACAGTTCCAAATCTACGGACAGATTTGCCGGCAACAGTTGAGGACTAAAATCTGCACCCACAACCTGTTTCAGTTGAGAAACATGGAAGACCGAATGGATACGGGCTTCAGCATGCAACTTGAATCGGTACGCTACCCGCCTCACATGCTCCAACACCTCAAATGGGCCAAAGAAACAAGCAGAAAGTTTCTGAAAGATACGAGCCGCTACGGATTTTTGGTGATAGGGCCACAATTTCAGATAAACCATATCACCCACCTGAAAGGTGATCTCCCGGCGAGAAGCATCTGCATAAGCCTTCATCCGCTGCTGAGCTTTTTGCAAATTACATTTAACCACGTCCAAAACCGCATCCCTTTCCTTCAAAGCGGACTCCAACTCAAAATTGACAGTGGAACCATCTTCAAACCGAACCAGCGATGGCGGATCCCGACCATAAACCACCTTAAAAGGTGTTGTTTGGAGAGATGAGTGAAAAGTCGTGTTGTACCAAAACTCAACCCAAGATAAAAACTTTATCCACAACCTCGGATGTTCACTCGCATAGCATCGCAGTAAGTCTCCAAGCACCTATTCATCTCCTCCATCTGACCATCCGTTTGAGGATGAAAAGCTGTGTTGTATTTCAATTTCGTCCCTGCCAATCGAAAGGTTTCCGACCAAAAGTGACTAAGGAAAATCCGATCCCGATCAGACATAATAGTTCGAGGGAAACCATGAAGCCGCACGATCTCCTTAACAAACTCACGAGCGACATCAGCCGATATGAACGAATGTTTCAGCCCCACGAAATGCGCGTATTTGCTCAAACGATCCACAACCACCAGCATGACGTTAAAACCCGCAGATTTTGGCAATCCCTCAATGAAATCAAGAGAAATATCTTCCCAAACCTGTTCTGGTATCGGAAGGGGTTAAAGTAAGCCCGCGGGCGCCAAGGTCGAGTACTTCTGCACTTGACAAATAGGACAGCGAGCCACATATTGATGAATCTCTGACTTCATCCCCGGCAAAAAAAAATGGCTTGAAACTCTTCAAGGTCCGCAACAATCCCGAATGGCCACCAAATTTTCCATCATGTAACTCATGCAAAACCAGCAGAATGAACTTAGAAGTCTACGCCAACACCATCCGACCTCGATACAACAAGGTACCTTGGCGGAGGGTATACTTCTCATCATCACCTGTTCAAGCTAGTAATTTTTGCAAAATCGCACCAAACATCTCATCCACATCTACTTCCTTGCGAACCTCTGCAAACTGGATAACACTCGGGACCGTGACAACCAAAGCATTCAGCGAAGCTACCGCCAACGTTGGTATGCGGGAAAGACCATCGGCAACCGTATTCTCGGAACCTTTCTTGTAAACAATGTCGAAGTCGTATCCCATCAATTTGGAAAGCCATTTCTGGTATTCCATACTAACTCATATTGCTCCAACATGAATTTTAGACTACGCTGATCCGTACTCACCATAAATTTTCGGCCGAGTAAGTAGTGCCGCCATCGCTGCACCGCCAAGCTGCACCGCCAACACTATCGCCATCAGCTCCCTCTCATAAATGGGTTTCAACCTCTCCCTATCACAGCCCATGGCTGTGAAAGGCAATCAGACGTTGATGTTGCATCAGGACTACCCCAACTCCAAAGCCCGATGCATCAGCCTCCAAGATGAACTACTCTGAAAAACCGGGAAGAGCTAAAACAGGGGTAGAGACTATCGCGTGTTTCAACTCCGCAAAAGCGCGAGAAGCATCAGTCGACCACTCAAACACATCTTTCCATAGCAAGTCTGTTAGCAGCCGCGCAATCGAACCATAATGCTAGAAAAATCTGCGATAATAGCCGGTCAGACCCAAAAATCCCCGCAATTCTCTCACGTTCATCGTTTAGGCCAACTCTGGAGAGCCGTTGTTTTGCTGGGATCCGTGGCAACTCCTGCAGCCGAGATGACGTGACCAAAATAATCCACGTGATCTTGACCGAAAAGGCACTTCTTCTTGTTCGCAAACAGGTGATATTTCTACATGATACGCAAAACCTCGGAAAGATGGCGAACATGGTCTGACATATTATGGCTGTACACCAAGATGTCATCAAAAAACACCAAGACGAATCGATGTAAGAATGGCCGAAAAACATTATTCATTAGGGCCTGAAATGTAGCTGGAGCATTGGTAAGACCGAAACACATAACGAGAAACTCATTGTGCCCATCATGCGTTCGAAATGCCGTCTTCGGAACATCTCAGCTTTCATCCGGATCTGATGATATCCTGCCCTCAAATCCAACTTAGAAAAGATAGTTGAACCCTTTAACTCATCCAAAAACTGATCTATCACCGGAATCAGAAACTTGTCCGACACCGTTGCCCGGTTCAAAGTCCGATAGTCCACACAAAAATGCCAACTACCATCCTTTTTCCTCACCAACAACACCGGACTAGAATAGGGGCTTAGACTCGGCTGAATTATCCCTGCCTTCAGCATATCTCGAACTAATTTTTCAATTTCCTCCTTGTAAGCATGCGAATAACGGTACGGCCGAACGCTTATCGGACCCATATTCGGTTGGAGAATAATACCATGCTCATGACCCCTCACCGGAGGCAGGCCCCCCGGTTCAGAAAAAACACCGCCATACTCCTCCAAAGTCTACAATACATCTGGCGGAATCACAACCGAACTCGATGCAGCTCCCTCGATAATCGGCATTCACAGTCTTAAAGACTTGAGAGCAACCAAAGATTGATGAAGATTAGGGTCCCCCTTAAGTATGACCACTCTCTCTTCATGGTTGAACCTCATCTCTATCTCTAACCCAACAGAGTCAAATTGGACCTTGCCTAAGGTCTGCAGCCACTGGATGTGCATCAACTCCTCCTAATTCTAGTGGTAAGAAATTAGTCACCATCACATAATTTTGTAGCTGTAACGAAACCTTCTCACATATGCCTTCGCTCCTCACCGTCAAACCCGTCCCCAAACCTAAAGCCTGAAGATCCACGCAACCCAATCGGAAGGCTCCTGACAAGGTCTCGCGACAGGAAATTGTGGGAAGCTCTGCTGTCAATAAGCACCACGTCCTGCTGGTCTCCAATCCATCCTCGAACCTTCATCGTCTTAGGTGAAGTCAGCCCCATCAACAAGTGAAGAGTAAGGGCAACCAACTCACCCTCCTCCGACGGCAACTCGTCAAAACATTCTTGAAATTCTGAGTGGTCTGCCTCTTGATCCGTAACATCAGTAACCATCAACACTTGCAGCTCCCGTTGCTTGCAACGATGACCGACGTAGTATCGTTCATCACAACGGAAGCATAGACCTTTTCGCCATCTGTCCTCAATCTCGGGATCAGACAGTTTCTGAAAAGGAGCACGTTTGTCAGCCGTAATAGAACTCTCCTTCCCCACACTAGCAACCGAAGACACAATAGAAAGTAATAATAGAAAGTAGAAAGTAATATAATAGGAAATATAGAAAGTAATAATAGAAAATATAGAATGTAATAATATCTAAACAAACTTTCCTGATTTAGCTCCAACTGAGCTTAATTCCCTTATTCCCTTTTTCTGTTTCTGTCATGTCTCTGATCCCCCGCCTCAGCTAATAATTCCTCTGTTTGTCTCTGACAAACACTCGGAAAGGCTTACCAGTATAGTTTCAATTCGGATAAAATGTAAGAGAAAGCAATCCGATCGTAGTTGGTCAAATGGTGTAGATGGTTGAGAATGTCAAAGAGTGTATTTGTTCCCGATACCGTGTTCGAGCGGTCGCTGGGGAGAAAAAATGCAATTTAATTACATTAGATTGTATTGAAGAAAAAAAAAAAGGAACCTTTAATTAATCTCCCAAGAAGACTGCTCATAGATCTATACAGATGAGCACAAAAATCTATACAAACAGACAGACAGGAGCTCATATGTATCTTCATTTAACCACTCCATGAATTCTGACAAATCTACTCAGAAATTTATAATCTCGCATTTATGGGTTTCCTCTCTCTCTCTCTCTCTCTCTCTGTACGTATCTATCGTCTCTAAGATTTGGCCGAGTCAGTATGCAGAAACCCTAAGGTGGAATCCTTTCGGTGCAAAAACTCTTGGAAACACCACCAGTTTCTCTCCTCCGACCTCGTCCCACCTGCAAAACCATCACACGAAAATCACGCTTAAGATCTTATCATATATCGTTGCAGAATCCGTGGTTTCAACGCATGGAATTCGACTCTTGCCACATCAATCAACATTCAGAGAGAGAGAGAGAGCAAAACCTGTATCTGGTTAAGAAGTGGTGAAGGAAAGAAGAGATTTCGACGATGCCTAGTTCCTTGCCGGGACAAAGCCTCGTCCCCCCACCGAACAGAAGGAAGTAGTTTTGTGATTCCATGTTCTTGTCCTGCATTCACATTTTACACACAAAAACCATTTTAGACGTTCTTGTTCGTTTCCAACGTTGCTGTTTTCTTCTGAGAAGTTAATAACGTCGAGCCCATGATATATGTACTAACCATCCATCTCCACGGGTTGAAGGTATGTGGATCTTGATACAGACAAGAATCATAGTTTAGCTCCCTCGTGTATACGTATATTCTCCACCCTTTTGGAATTACGTATCCTGCATTGGTTTATAATCGTGTTTAGTAATAATTACAACGTTAATTACTTAACTAATCAATAGATGATGAACTTGTACCCTAATGGGACCTCCTAACATGAATCAAAGTGTCTAAGAACACAAAGCATGCCCCTTTTCGAAAAAAGAAACCCGAAGATCAAGATCAAGATCGGGATTGATACGGGGCGAAAATCTAAGGGATTTAAAGTTAAAAAGATGAATGAAAAAATAAAAATAAAGGGTTTTTTCTTCTGTCAAAATTATTGAAATGAAGAGCCATGGGGCAACAGGAGGATGACTGCATAGCTGGCTTGGTTGGTAGCCCATGTAAATCAATGATATATATTGTAAGGTCCACATGAACGAATATTTTATTTTGAAAACCAACAAAAAAGATACATTATATTTGAATCTACGTAATTTTTTTTATATTGATAATTCCAATATCGTTTTTTCGCAAAAAAATACATTTTATTTAAAAGTGAATCTCATCCAATATCTCTTTATTGTTATAATTATTATTTTTATATATTTCACCAATTAAATTTAGAAACATATGAACAAATAAAAAATAAAAATGATTAAAATATAATCATAATATTTAGATATCTTTAATATTATTATTTTATTTTTTGTGTTTTGTCTATATTTTGTTAGAAAAAGAGGGAAAAAATAAAAAATATATATAGAAAATAAAGAGTAAAAACATGGTAACCGCGTAACCTAAAAAGAAAAAAGAAAAACAATTTTTTTAGAAAAAAGTAAATAAAAGAACGGGAGAGGAGGTGAGGGTGGGGGCAACCACAAAAATCAGATGGGGGCATTTTTTTAACTTTGGTTATAATTTTATAAAATCTATAAATAAATTGTATAATTTTAATTAGGTGGGTGGGGGCATAGGACCCCACTCCAATACACGTAGGTCCGCCCCTGCTCACCATTGAGTTCCAAGTCATGGGTTGTCTTCCTAAGGACACCATTAACAACGGTTGCCAATCTCGATGTCTCAAAGATTACCTATGAACAAAATGGTCCAAACCCCATGTTTCACTAATCATGTCACATTCAAATAAATAATGCCCATAAAAAAATATCACTAACGTAGATTATAACAATATAATGATTGATACACTACACAAACCCTATTTTACATGCATGGTCCGGTCTTTTTTTTTTTGTAACATCAGCATCAGACATTTAAAAAAAAAACATTTTTATGTTTCGAAATTTTGTCGGATTCTGTTTGTACCATTTCGTATATTACTGTTACGAAATCCAAAAAAAAACGATATCTACGTATCGAAATACGAAATTGGATCGAAACTTGTGGAGGTATAAGAATCAGAATACATACCGCACGAGTGAATTTCATCGTTTTCACATCTTCAAGATCAAGTGGTTCCTCAGGGCCTTTCCTTTCCCTAATAGCAAAGTGCTCTCTCTGCATCGGACCGGAAACAAAAAAAAAACGAAATCAATACCAAACCGAACCGTACCGGTGAGCGAAATGCCGGTTAGGTCCCAATATCTGTGTTACATACTCTGATTTCTTCAAGAGCCTCTGGATGATCATGAAGGTACTTAAGAGCCATCATGGAGGTCGTGGAGACAGTCTCATAGCCCGAATACAGAATCGTTATGACTTGATCTCTTATCTCTTCGTCGGATAACGGGTATCGGTTATCTTCCTCCTTCATCAAGTAACCAAGAATGTCGGTGAAAGTTTCCCCTGAAGCTCTCCTCTCTTGCATCAGTTCCTTCAGAAGTCGATCTATGTTCTTTCTTGCCTGACAAGTAATAGAAAACGTTAACTATAGATATAAATGATGTGCTTGTCCTCATGAATTCGCCGTGTAATTCCAATATTTTACCTGAATTCCGCAGCGGTAATTCGAGCCCGGGAGATTGATCGGAACAGATAGAGTTCCGAGAACGAGCTTGAAGAACTCGCTCGTGAACTCTTCAACCACTGGTTTGCTTAATGTATCTGCGATTTGCGACAATGAAGACAAGAACGCCATCTGCTCAAATCCAAAAAGAAAAAAACAGAGAATCAAAATCATGAACAAATTAATGTAGAGTAGAGCAGAACAAACAGGATAACCATGAAGGACAGAACCGAACACATATGTCCTGTGCTCAAGATTCAGACATAAATGCCATTAAAATCCATCAGAGAGGTAATTAATTAGACCAGACCAGTTTTCCAGAGGTGAGAAACAGAAATTACGACTCTACCCCTGTCGCGACCCAACAAAACTAACTATTATTCCTCTCCTTTTTTTCTTTATTCTCTCGATTTTGTCCTTTTTTTCAGATGAACATTGACAAAACCATCCGAAATATTCAGCCTCCCTCGACCACGAGCAGCATATTCTAAAAACCAGGGAAAGGAAGATCGAGAATGGATATGTATGCTCTGTTTTGACAACAAAACAGAGCAAGAGAGAGACTCACATGTTTGGTCTTGTCCTGAATATCAACGACCTTAGATTCATCCCAGTGACTGAGATAGCTTCTCATGAAGCAATCCGTCTTGGGCAAGAGATGGTCTCTGATCATCGTTGGGCTAATCAGAGCCAACAGCGAGCGTCTAATGGGGCGGGAGCCATGGACCGCGGCTATGTTGCCTTTTCCGAGGATGTCGAGCATCGACTGTGGATAGCCAGCGACAAGCCCTTTGGATTCGTTCATCAGAATGTATCTGTTAAGCTCTGCGTCCATCGACACAATCGTTGGGCACCCCAATATGTGAGACTTGAAGAAACTCCCGAATCTACAGGAATGCGGCAGAAATAAAAAGTGAGGATTTTTTTAAGATATGGTTCGAACCATGACATTTTGGTTCGAACCCACGATTATTTGGGAGGAAAGGAAAGAGTTGGATCATCTGGGTCATGGGCATTTTCAGAAAAAAGGAAAAAAGTTCGAATTTTTCTTTAACGAGTACCGGGCTCGGTGGATTTTCATGAAGTCAGGGCCTTGCTTGAGGAACTCCGTGGTTTCGCCGAAGAGAGGCCATCCCATTGTGCCTGGAGGGAGGCCTTTCTTGGCGTATCGCATCTCGTTCCATCGAAGCAAAGCGGAGCAGATGCATACCATTATTACCACAATCCCAAGCATCACCATTGTTATCCCCTTCTTCTTCTTTGACCTGTTTTTCTCTGTTTTGTAACCTCTTTTGGGCCAGAGAGAGAGAGAGAGAGAGAGAGAGAGAGAGAGAGAGAGAGAGAGAGAGAGATGGTTATGGGCATGTGCTTGGTACTACAAGCGGTTAATTGTTGTGCCTTATATAGCCAACTTAGGCGTCAATTGAAATAAGAAAATACATATGGATTTGGGAAGATTGGATTTAGTTGAAATAGATTATGTAAACTATAGATATTTTGTATAAATTAGAGATACAAATCAAGTATTAATTGTGTTGAATATTTTTTTTACTCTATCAAATCTTATTATCTTCTAATTTTCTTCACTTATTTATTCTGTTCCTTTTATCTATAACTAAATGCGTGATATGGTTTACTCTAATCTGATACAGTGAGACGCAATGAGGCATATTGGTGAACAATATATTAAGGATAAAAAAAATGGCGGATTTTGAAAATACTACATGTCAATATGCAAGTAAATCAAAAAAATTTCATATATATTTTGTACCGCTTGTTGAATATATATTTTTAATTATATTATATAAAGATTTAAAATTATATCACAGAGATTAAATATAATTATAAAAAATTATAACTATTTAAAATAAATATCTTGAAAATAAAAAATGCTAATTTTGTCAACGCTATTTTTTACACTCTTAGAATATAAATGATCAAAAAAATCTTATGCTTTCATTTTGTTTCAATTTAAATCCTATACTTATTTTTTATCCTAAAAAATATTGTATAATTAGATTCTCTTCAAAATATTCATATATTTTGCATCTTATGGCAATTTAAATCATATACTCATTTTTTATCCTAAAAAATCTTGTACAATTGCTTATCTCCGAAAAATAAGTATATGATGTAAATTGCATAATATACAAAATATAAGAATTTTTTTTTTAGAGAATCTAATTGTACAGAATATTTTAAGATAAAATAATAAATATAAAGTTTAATTTGAGACAAAAAGATAATGCATTTCAATTTATTTACCGCTTACTTGTGCATGTATATATATTAGTATATTTGTGCATACATTATCATTAAATTCCAACTATACGTATATATACTTATGTGTAGAGAGAGAGAGGGATTTTTTGCACTTTTTACTGATGACTCAAACAGGCAATATATATAAAAATCATTACAGGATTTATTATAAGATAAAAATAAAGAAGTAGACAGAGAAGAATTAAAGCAACAACTCATTCTTAGACATGAATGCTTGTTTGGTAGTTGGGTGAGGAAGATTCTTCGTTCAGGTAAACTTAAAGTTTGTAACTTTATGGTTGAATCTTGATGGGTTTATGTCGAAGTACTAATTAACGGTTTCTTTTATTATTATTGTCGTTTACAAATTAATATTATATATATATATATTCAGTTTTTTTTTATAATCTATAAATTCACCATACATTGGATCCACCTATATCTTATTCTCGGAAATAATCTAGAGTGATTGTTCGAGATTTTAATTTTAAAAACTCGAAAACATCTCTGTTGAATGTCCGTTTCTAGAGATATGTATATTAGTTTAAATGAAGGATTATCTTACTAGACACAAAAGAAAAAACTATTATTCAAATTTTATCACAAAATAGTAAAAATTTATTTGATTAAATAGAAATGTTTTAATTAAAATTGTCAAAATATGATAGGTTTAATATATAGATTTTTATAAAACCCGCCAATTATTAATATTTTAGATATAAAAAATTAATAAAAGTTATTATTATCGTTTATCAATGTACTATTTAATTGAACGGATACGTATGATATAGCGGTGTAAAATTAATAATAATTAAAAATATACTCTAAATAATGTATTTGTTAATATAGTTATTCAATTAATAAATGTAACTCTTTTTTAAATAATAATAAACAGGAATAGGGGGAGGGAATGAAGGCAAGGATATTCAGGTAAAAGCCACGGTTACATCACATGGACACCACCCAAAGGACCCATAGAAACGAAAAAGAAAATAAAAAGATTAAAAAATAAAAAATAAAAAAAATAAACTTTAAAATGAAATAACTATAAAAATTAAAAAGTTCACGTGTCTGTTCCAACAAATATCCATTTTTTTCATGGATATTTTTCATAAAATTCCCGACAAGACGCAATTCCTCCTCTCTCTATGTCCATGTGAAGAAGTGATGAGATAGAGAGAGAAAATAATTAAAATTATAATTTTTTGTATTTATGATAGAATCCACATGCTTTGTAATTTTCAAAACACAGTTTGTATCAAGTTTAATTACAAGAATCAAATAGCCAAATCACATTTGATGACATTTTTTATAGTTCGATTTTTTTTTGGATATTATAGTGTATATATATAAATACGAGATTTTAAATTCGAAATTAGTCTTTGATATCATTTTTAAAAGTATTAATCATTCCTCTCTTATGCAAATTTTATAATTTGGGGTAGAAGAAACGGTTAATCGCCTATATATTACGTTATTATATTAGATATGATGAATATATATGGTTAAAACGTTTCGAAATATATCCCCGGGATTGATTATGGAATAAAAGAAAAATAACTATGCGGTAAATAAAAAAACAAAAACAAAAATTGAAAACGAGTGATGATGTTATATGTGAAAAAGATAATGTAGAAAGACACAAGAATATAAGAATGTAAAGACACAGGGAATTACGAGTTCAGTACGATCGGTTATATATATATATATATGTCAAGGCTGAGGTCTTTATAACAGTGAAGAAGAACCGTTGGTTTTTACAACATTCCTGCCTCTGTTCTAACTGCAAGTTTGAAAATTGGTCTGCTTTTGATTATTTAAATATTACATCAATAATTAATTTTTCCAAGCCTTATTAGCAGAATTTTAGAGAAAAGAAAATAATACAATTGGTTGTCTCGGGGATGATTTTTATTTTAGAAAATATTATCAATATTATATAAATCATATAAGAGGTTATGAAAATGATTTATTAATATCCAAATAAAATATATATTCAATTATAAACAATCGAAATTTATTATAAAAAAAATCCATACGTATACATGTTCGTATGCGTATGTGTGTTTTAATGTGAATGGACTAGAGAATATCAAAGATTGCAGCTTTTGAATTATCCAAATTTTGTTGATTTAAATATGAAACGACAACGGATTAGAGGCGTTATGCTTTTGTTTCATTGCGTGCAATTTATACATAATGCACCGAAAAGATTTTAATTATGTGCTAATCACATCAAATTAACTTTCACAAGATTTAGGGCTTGGAGGTTTCCTAGTGGTTCGTGATGATCGCTTTTTTGTCGGCTTTTATCGACTCTTATTTTTGTTTTAGTGAATGATATTGTATATTCTTCATCTTTATATTTTTATTTTATTTGAAATTTGCCAAAATATTAAACTAAACTATTTTAGAAAAAAAAAATATTTTGCCTAGATAAACAGTCAAAATATCTAATATAAATATATAGTTGGAGGAAAAATTCACATTATATTCAATATTTAAAATCTGATTTGTTTATGAAGAATATTAATATTTTAATTAGATCATAATAGTTGAGTTATTAATCATATAAAATTATAACATTCCTTTACATATAATATTATCCGGCATGTTTTGATTACAATTTTATTTACTTTCATATTGTTAAATTTGTTAGCAATTTAGTTTATGTATTTTTAAAGATATCTATATTGAAAAGAAACAAATCAGATATTTAAAAACAAATTAGATAGTTGATGATTTTTTTAATTTATTACTTTAAAAAATAATTAAACTAAAACTACAAATCTTCAGGTTTTTAATAAAATTTGTAACTATTTATATCCAAATTATTAGAGATATCTACGAAACTCTAATTTATATGATTTATTTTTAATATATATTTTTAAGTGGATGTTCTATTGTCTTTTCTTATTTGAAAAAAATCAAACCAATTTACCATATCTATAAAACCGTATAGTCTCATTTTTAAAATTGAAACTGATAATTATGGTATTAAAAAATAGGATAAATAATATATCAGAATAACTAGTGATGGGAAATCCAACGAAAATAGTACGTGTGCTCACACGTAGACTTTCGTATGCATTCGTAGAATGGTCCTTCGCATTCAATGTGGATGTAGTGAATGCACTGAATCGCCACTTTGGCATTTTTCTTCCAGGCCATACGGCACTTAAACCACAAATGTAAATAATTTATTTTTCTCTTTTTATTACACGTACTGAAAATTATTTTATAAAATGGTACGTTTCATATCATCAATCGAATATATATATATATATGTATGTATAATTATAAAGTAGTAGAAGAAATCTTTTTATTACCGTATAAAACTATCTCTTATTATTTTTAATGGATAATGGGTGATTTTATTTATCACAATCACTGTACAATTATTCTATACACACCGGTCTATTTTATTAAATCCTACATTTTCTTGCATAATCTATTTAATACTGAATTATGTATGTATGATGACCGCATGCAGTCTAATTTGACAGTCGTGCTGTAAATGGCACAGTTCGCAAGTTACATAATGTAATGTTTCAATTTCAAATAGAAGTAATATATATATATATATATATATATATATATATGTGTATATATATATATAACCTCGACAAAAAGATAATCAACTCGATATATAAAAATTTAACAGATCTAGATGGTAACAAGGCATAAAATAAAATAAAATTTAATATGATTATACAATATGGAAAATTAAATATGAAAAAGGAAGTAGGTATCATAAAAAGGAACGTTTATATCATTGGGGCGGCTCCGTACAGTTTTTGGGTGAACATCAATTGTGTTCATGATATAAGACGGGTCTAATCAACATGTTTATATGATTACAATATGAAAATAAATGTCCCTTTTCATTTCTCTTGTGGAAAGAAAACCCATTTCTTCTTTTACTCTATCAATTCTGTTTTTGACTTTTATTATAATTAACTTGTTTATATATATATATATATATATATATATATATATATTCTCTTGTGAAAAATCTGTCTTGTGGTG